CAACGTGCCAAAGAAGATGATGTATCTCTTTTGGTAAAATTATTAGCATGCTCTGGTCTTTGCTCAGCATCGAGTGTTTCTCATTTGATGGGAATCTGGAACAAACTGTGTGGAATTTTTGTATAAAATACTAGCGTGGAGAAGCTGTCACTTTTCGAAGAGTTAGAGGGTCAAATTTACTTGTTGAGTTTGATATTTTATTTATGCCTTAGTGCTTAACCTGGTGGGTTTATCACGTCGTCACCTTGATGCATCCAGTTTAGTTTGTCTGTTGAAACCAAAAAAATGGATAGGCTCATTATTTTATATTTTATGGATTGATAAAGAGTGAATGTTTCTCTGTGACCCTTTCTTGCGCTGCTTTTGTGCTGAGACAAACCGTCATGCATATACCGCATAAACCGAAATCCCTTCAACGATGAAACTATTTCCATTATCTACTGAACGTCAACAACACTCACGTACTTCGTCACCTCGTTCTTAAAAGAAAGGCGACACACGCACAATACTTGGAGATTTTGTTGGGAGAAACTCGGACTAAATCGTCTGAGGTGAAGCATCTGTATACGTGACGTGCTTCACTATCCCGTAGGCTATTTTACTACGGCGCGGGTGTGTCATAGCTTCGAGATTATCTTGACTACTGGTAGTTGAGAGCGATTTCTCTCTGAAGCCACAAACGAAATGGAACCAACAGGGGAGAGCACTAAAATTAGAACAGTGCATTGACATTCTGTTATTACTGATGGTTAAAACTGCTTCCGTCGACGTTGGATGCACTTCAACTAGTAATATTTTCGCATTAAAATTTAGTAAATTGGATTCTGACAAGAGTAAACTCGTCCTGCTCAGTTCGACGGAAACGCTGTAGTGCTTCCTCATAGTAAACAGCGGATCGCGCAAAAAAATAATCCACCTGGCGAGTCCTAATAAATTACAGGTTAGCTGACTAAATTTCCTCCCACAATGGCTTTTAGAATTGTCACTGATTGTTCTCTATCTTCAAAGAATTTATCCTATCAGACGTGTGGTCTCAGACCTCCTAAATTCGTTACACGATTCTTGTTGAGTTGGTTGATAAGGACGGACAGTATTTGTATTGAGCCCTCAATGAATTACTTTCCTATGGCGGCGCACGGAATTAAGACATGTGTTTCATCCTGCGGAACAACTACACTGGAATCATCGGTGATAGATTTCATGGAGAAAAGATTGCGCCCCTTTCGAGAAACCGCTATCATCGTTACCATCAGCACCATCAACTACAACTTCAACATCAGCATAAGCATTGACAGTCATGACTGGAAATACAAGGATTTAAAGCTGTTAAGTGGGTGATCGAATTAGTCCCAGTTAGTCACACTGGTTGAGAAAAACCGGTGTTTCATGTTGGAGTCGGATTGCTAACAATGAAAGAAATTCGCGAGTTGATTTTATGATCACTCATTAGTACTGCTTTTGTTGGTGTTTCCCGCCCAAATTTTTCTGAAGTGTTGTTCAAAGTGGAGAGTTCGAATTATCCTCCGAAACAAGCACTGCTGTCTCCCATCAGTGTTTTTGTATTATGCTGAGCGAAGAGGATCTCAGTGGATCTTACTCAGTTCGCCTTTTCGAAATAACTCGTCACATGTCATCAAAACAACTTATTGCTCTACTTTGCAGTGACTACTATTATTATCAACTGTAAATCGTTGGCATGTTTTACACTGGTTCTGGTTGCCTTAGTTCTTTTCGTCGGTGGTCTGGAAAATGGCAGTGGGTGCCTGCACATTAGAGGGGAGGCTGACGCTCTAACTCTGGGGTAGATTTTCCCTTCGTGGAAGAGTCAAGAAAGAAAAAAAAGATATTCCGAAAGTTTAGGGTGCTGTTAGTGCCGTTCATCTTCCAGGATGGGGTCCACGTGGCCCTCGCTGTACTTGGCTGGAGACACTGAACGATACGATGGCTACCCAATGTCAGTGACGTTCATACTTTTAGCTTCTATCCACAGTCGGACTGAGTGTTGGAGGTATAGGCACCTTAGATATTTGTGGTAGGCTAGTCCTAGTCCTCCACTCCTTTCTCACTTCCATATGGCTCCACTTAAATAAACTGACACGGTTGCACGGTAGGGGAACACCGAAGTCCTCCCCTGGTGTTTCTGTAAACGACGAAAAACAGGAGGAAAATAGATGACCGGGAGTGGAGCAATGAAGACAACAGACTGGATGTATTCGCGCCGGTGAGCACCTGATAGAACAGCGTCTATCATTGCCTATAATCAATGGCATCACGTCTCGAGATCCCCATCCAGTGGCTAAAGCAGCCAAATTTACTAGAAATTATTTTCATGATCCACTTTCAAGTCATGGCGACTCATTCAGAAAGAAGGGCCCATTACGTGGCAGGTATTACAGTTTTATTTCGTAAATACCGGTTCACCACAGCTTCCGTACGTTCATTTATGTTTATTGTCAACAATGACTCCGGAATCGTTCCCGATAATTTTCCGATAAGTGACACAAAAATTGTGGGACCGGTTGAAAAGTCGCAGCACACTTTAAATCTTTCGTCTGAGCGATTCCACTTTTGAAGTTTCTTGGTGCAAATGGCAAGCCGTAGCGAGCATCTGTATGACGTTGGCTTGCCCCAGATGTGGATTCATCATTTTATGCGAACGGTGGATAGTACAATAAACGTGACCATGACTATGTAGTCTTGTCTCTCCATTAAAATGAATGATTGATCCCTGGAAAATCACCCTCTAGATGGGGGTATGTGCTTCGTAAAATTTTATACGTTGAGAAATCAGATGTCTATTCCTCTAAGACTTCATGTCACATCCCAGTATTGGGCCTCCCTCCTTACCTAACTCTGACCACAGCGTTCATTTTTGTGTTAGTCTGTCTAACTTTTAAATCAAGTTTCTCTATTATTTAGATCAAGTGGGTTTTTGGGGCATCTTCAGCGTTTAAGGCCGCTACACAGCGTGAAAGTACACAAAATTTTGGTTTCAAAATATCGGACAGTTAGACAAAGTTTCTGGGTAGTCGTATTTCGAAAACTAACCGAGTTGGCTTGGTTTCCTGTGTCTCTTCTTGACCCTCTATTTGGCTGTCCACAAAAAGCACCTCAAGTGAGTCATGCGACCAAGCCAGAAGTCTTTGGAGTTTGTTTAGTTATCTTTTTTTCGGAAAACCACCATACATACCTCAGCATTACCAATCCAACGTTTCCAAATAACTGAAGTAGTCCACAAAAAAACCTAAAGCAAGAAAATAACTGTTCCTAATTTGCCCTCGAACTTCCGACCATCGATTAACACTGCTTTTGTGTGTATTAATGGTTACGAAGAAAAAATACGCCCACATGGGAACTCGAAAGCAGCCTTTGCCGTACATGCTATAGACAAGGTCTTCATTCAAATTTCTAATGAATTACTTCTCCGTCCCCAGTAATAAGCAAATGATAGTTTGTTGGACGTCAGTGACTTTTTGAATAAACCAGGAATGTTTTACCGCATCTGAGCAGCGAATATACCCTGTACAATTGCGATACTGCATTGGAGACTTAAACAACTTGCGAATTCAGCTAACCGATGCAATAACAGTCAGGCTCTCAGGCCTAAGAACACAATAAATTCGATCGATAGGTGGGTAAAGCCCCTTCGCGAACCGAGGAAATGCCAAAATGCACCACTCAGTTAAAACAGTATAACTGCCGGTAGTCCGAAGGATGAACGTCCTTCCTTAAACAAAATTACACACACGCCTCTGATTCGATTAGTCACCAGAATGGAATATGAATATCTTACCTGTCAAACCAACAAGGTCTTTTTTGATACGACAATACTTATAAGTTCAGTTCGGTCCTCGTTCTTTACGCAACACCGACCGAATACATAGCTGATAACAAAACAGTCTAGGTAGGCTTCCGCAGTTGATTCTCTTTCCTAAGTTGGTATTCATGGATAGGTTCACTATTCCTCATCGTCAGTATGCTGTTGCCTTGCTCTGCTGGGTCCCCACATTTTTGCTTGGACGTGGTAACCACTCACCTGACTGCAGTCAGAACATGTAATTGTTAAACAATCAGATAATTATATCTTGGCTGCAAATAAATTTTACTTTTAGGCCTTTTTGTCACGTCCTCGAGGGTTTTTTGTCTATTGGCAGGTATCTATGGTATAACTTTCTTGGCCCCAAAGGAGATTACCGTATGTCGAACGGCTAGCAAATAGACTGGGGACTATCGTAGCAAGACGTTCGTTTATCAATCGGATGAGTACCACTTAAATTTTCTGGTTAAGCTTTCGTTGCAACAAATTGTTTTACATAGAAACTTGAACAATAGAAACGCACAGATATTGTGCTGACTCGACTTTCAACAAAGTATTTGATCATCTCAACGGATTGTTTGTTCACACACAACAAGCAAGACTTGATTTTAACCATTTTGCCTCATCTCTCTACATCCATCTAACCTCGGATTGTTTTAAATACAATGTAAGCATATTGCTCTACTCCACAGGGCACCTGCGTCAAAACGTCCACCATCCCAACTTTGTTGATTATTCTCCTACATTTTACTAACCAGTCAGCTTATTATGGAAACACTTTTCTGATGCTGCTGTAAACACGCTTTTGACCAAAAGAGTTTGGTACTAAGGTCGCGTTGCTGAGTTTAAGTGCCTTTTATCTGTAAGTTGACCGAGCCTACCTAGCACTTGTTCTTGGGACCAGTGTGCAAAGTGGACGAATTTTACTTCAGAGACCCTTGGCCCACTTGGTTACATTGTTTAACTGTGTTCAGGCCCCGATCTGACCAACATCCTCAGTATATCTGTCGATAGTGGTTCAAACAGATTCTCTCTTACAACAAACCTGATCACCGGTCCCACAGAGGTATTTTATTTCGGAGTTGTGCTTGATATGTCCTCTTCGGGACAATTTTGCCTCTCGAAATGCCACGAGGATGTTTTAAATTATTCGAACCGCTTGATTATGTCTCATCCATTGCAGCACGGTCACTCCACAACAATGGGAGGAGTTCTCGCGCTACAACTGGCTACGGGCACAAGCCGAGGTCGGTGCCGGACAACGGTTACGCGAGGCAATTTTCCACACGTTGAGCAAAGTGGCCAATGATCTGGAAGCCCAGGCGCAAGCCACTGAGTTGGCCTTACGCAATAGAAGACATGAGTTGGAGCAAGCACTGGATGAACTTAAATGGCAAAAGAAACAAGTAGGCTTCATTAGTAAAAACTGCAAACATCTATGTTCATGCGACTCATTTCCCGTGTTCAAGCAGTGCATCAACGCGTTGTTCGCATAGATTTGGATCTCCGTGCCACTTAGTTTGCAGGGTTGCTTAACAAAGCGCATAAATTCTGCAAATCGGAAAAGCAGATCATGGTTCTGCTACACAATTATCAAGACAATCCAAGCAATATGATAAGTTATTAGAGATGAGCTACGAAGAAGGGGACCTACACGCTGGAGGGTTTTTTTAGTTACCTTCGTGGAACATCCATTTTCTACGGGAAAATTAATTCCATCTTTTAGATTTAAGGAGACGGTCTTTAAAAAGCTGAAAACGGCACATGGTAACTGATTAGATGTGGATTATACTACGGATGTAACAAATTTTCCACGTTAATATGTCACAGTGGTCTTCATAAGGTATCATGGTAAAGTGTCCAAAATGACCGCATATGAGCCTGGAACTTTTTCACGGTGTAGTGAGATGTGAGTCAATATGAATTTGAGATGTGTTTTAATAAGCAACCCTCTTGATTACATGCATAACCCAAATACAGCTAAAATTCCCACCCAGGAACTATTGACTTTCTCTAACGTAAGAGAATTCCCGTCTGGCTATCTTGAGGATGTAATCTTAGGTGAATAACCACGATAGAGTAACATGAAAGAGGTGTGGCACCTGGTGTAATCTTTCAAAACCAAAACGGAGATCAGTAAGATTGGCTAATTTTCTCAGTGGAATGGCGTGTGATGACACTGAACATGGTATGATATGGTTTATGCTTTCATCTGCAGGATTTTGTTGCCTCTCTTCAAACCATGAAACGGTTCAGATGGCTATTCTCCAATCCCTATCCAGGGCTCCAGAGGCATTTGGTTCCCCATCATCACGAACAGGAAAAAACTACCTCCATTTTCAATGCAACGCAGTCTGGTCGATAGTTTGTGTGATACTCTTAAGGACAAGATGTTCGTTTTCCTTGAGCGACTCACTGAGTATCTTAATACTCGTCCAATGTTGTGAAACCAGGAGTGCACAACATGTGTGTAGGTGGAACCGTACGGAGAATACAATATATCTGGATGCGTTTGTGCGACCCACCTGCCAGAATGAGATCCGTGTCACTCCCATAAGATTCGACGAAGCCATTGCTATGAAAAGCCACCGATCGATCTCATTAAATTTCATACTGTCAGTTATCATGAACATAGTCTAACTATTTGATAGTTCATGCCCATTATGCTAACAAAATATGCTCTCCACCAAACTACTCACAAGTAGACAAAATGTCAATATCGTTACACCGCAGATGCCCGAACACATGCATTCGAGCAATCAGCTACACATATTGACACTCACCTAGTTGTTTGACCTTGTTGTTACCATTCCTGATGCTGGAGGTGACACTATCAAGTCATCCAATGTGGGGTGATGGCTGCATGGCGAATCCATTGTGATGAGTCCGTGTGTTGACAACTAGTCCTCATCATCATCATCGTCATCATCATCATCATCATCATCATCATCATCATCATCATCATCATCATCATCATCATCATCATCATCTGTATTAGCCGCGCACTTGTCATACAGTGGTTTTACCTGCCACAGTTTCGTTCACCAATGATTCGGGGAGGTGGGGTAGGTAGCTGCGCCTTGGAGGCGGGAGCTGATAAATTAGTGCGTAAATACAGCACTGCAGGTGGAGTGTTAAGTGGGGAGATCGGGGCTGTGTACCACAACAGTATGGCGTGACCCACAGTGTAGTCCGATCCACGCGACAATACTGTCAACAGGTAGTAAATATGATACTGCTGTTTATGGACCAGTAAAAGACGCCAACATATTTTCGGTTAGTGCTTTTCAAATGCAAACTGTTCAAGACTACTGGATTTCCGTTACATTGGCAACGTGGCTGGAAAATAATCTGCTAAATTCTCCGCACAGTGCTGAAATGCTTTTTTCAAGTAGCTAATACCGATAAGTGATAGGTCCTGTTTACTTTTCTCCCTCGGTGAACTCCTGTTTGTCTGTAACGGTGATTGAATGATCTTTCAGTCTGTTTCACCAAAGTGGTTTCATTGAAATCACGGCTGCTAACAAAGTGTTTTGGAGGGGCTTGTATGAAACCGCATACCCTTCGCACGACTCGTTCAGTGATCAACTAAATGTGTCGAATACTGTCCAGTAAATCTCTGTACCTACTAGGAAAGACAAGGACAAACATCAGGTATCGCACGTTCGGATGATGGGCGATGAGCTTCGGTGGCCATGCCTATATGGAGATCAAACTTGTGGTAATTCGTCCAGGTGTACCGCACCTAGCTTCCGATGATTCCCAACATCGAAAATTGCGTAACTAAAAATTTATTCACAAAGGAAGACTTTTACACCCATAGTTTCCAGAAAAATTATTTCAAAACTATTTGCCCTTCTGAACCACTTTCACTGATCGCTAGTCTGTCTGCTATGGTGCGGAATCATCGGGATCAGACTATATTGTACGATTTTCGAGGCGTGCTTCCTTCAAAGTGGCCTCAAAGACTCAATTTAAGGGTGAGTATGTTACATAGTTCGGTTCAAATCAAAATCTTCCATCTAAGCATAAAACTGCAAAATAATTTAGACTAGTTTATGGATTTGGATATTTTACCGCTAAAGAACCTTGCTGCGATTTTTTTATTCATTTTATTAAGATCTGGAGTTGACGATGATCCATCTTGCAATTAAAATCCTAGGATCGCCATGCAGCTATCTCATTAAAAATTCTTACTCACATTAAAGGGTTTGAATTCCCCCTTAGCGTGAATGACGACACAAGAAAGTTGTGCTTAGCAACCCAAATGAAGGGAGAGTTTGAAATTCCCTGCCAATCTCGCTGCAGCAGGTGAACAACTCAGGACGTGAAGGATATTCGGCGTCCAAACCAAGCAGGTTGCACTGGAAACGGGTGTAATATTTCAGGCCATCTCCGTGTTGACCATTGATACACCACTGACCGGGATTGCGCTGAACGACACGTGGTTGACTCTTCACTGAGGCTTTCACACGTGTTACACCTCATGGAACAAGACACGACATCTACAAATTTCGCTCATATTTCGTTTCATCTACTGGATGTCAGCGATGTGTCCAGTTTCACCCGGACCACATCAGCACTGATTTCATGCATTTTCAGAGCAATGATCAGTTGTGGCATTTTGGATAAATCCAAACCAGTGTAAACGTAGGGTGATGTAAAACTTAATTGCTTGTTCTGAGATCCCACATATGACAGTCCAGTTGCTCTGGTGTTCGAGATGTTGACTGATCGGACGTCGAGCAATTTGGCACGAGTAATTTTTAGTGCCACCACGAACTCGAACGAGTGATTACTGCAGCACCATGAGTCCGTATGTGGTCTAAAAAATCATCATCATCAACATCATCGACAGCATGATATCAGTGTTCAACACCGATGTTTCACTGCCGTACAACCGTGACTTATTTGAAACCCTTATTGTAAAGAAAAGAGTAAAGGTGGATAAGGGAGGGACTTAGTGCTAGCTTAACACAATCAGAACACAAAACCAGAGCATCTACAACCCAGTTTGGATCCGGTGAAAAACTTTCCGTTTAATTAAATTTTTCTTATTTCTTAAAATGAAGAGTCAGAATGTCCTCCGTAGCATAAACAAGAAGCACAAGATGGAAACTAGCCACCGAACTCCTGTTTGCCAGACCAGTTTTCAACTACCTAAGCGATCGACGATCGTGCTGCGTATCACATTAATACACCTGAACTTCAGATGATTCACCTAATTCACTGTAAGTTGCAGATTGTTGAGGTCTCTGCTACTCATTTCTGGACTCAGCTCTATATTAAGCAATAGGCCTCAAGCAATAGTTAACAAGAAAAAATACAGACCTGGTATGCGAGCACTGATCGAACTGAATATTGGAGGAAGTTGCTCGAAACCATGGGGTGAGAAAGTCACTGTACATAAGAGCACATAGACCCTTTCAGCTGCTAGTCTAATGTCAGCAAGCGGAACTCTGAACCTTTTTTGTCATCCAGACGTGCGGTTCAGACGTTCAAATCACGTTCTGAACACCATACCCATTGAATGTGATTGAAAATCGATCGTATTTTTGTGCCTGCCTCTACCCTGTGCTGGAATGATTTAGGAAGTCACATAAATTTTTGAACACAGAAAATGTCGGCGCACAAACCAGTGAATCCTTCGAGTACTGAGTCTATTTCAGTTTAAAATTAAATCCCTACTGGTTTTCAGCAACCTAAATGCTCATAGGTATGGCATCTACCAGAAGAGTGCCAAGTGGAACAAATCCCACTAAGAACCGTTATTCGTTTCGATCAATCTGCCCGTTCATGTTAATTGAGGAAATTAAGCACTTATCGTGAGTTCTGTGTCCGAAGAAATAAATCAGTTTACCAGAAGAGAAGACCAAACCATTTTGAAACGCGACCCTTAGTGAGCCGAAAATTTCAATAAAAAATTTACTGCATGGCTACTAAAACCACCTGAATCGGATTGCTTCATCTATTTGAACTGTGGTGCCCTAAACTCCACCTATACAAATGGAAAATAGTGGCACTGTTTTTAGTAAAGTTTAAGTGTACGGTGGAGACCAATGCATCCCTGAGTTTTTGCTGATTTCGGCTTTTCGGTGGACTGTAGTTAATATGTTCTATTCCACTTTGTAAACAATGGTGCGACACCCTGGTGAGCAATCTAGGGTAGCGGCATGAGATTACGTAATCGTGTGTTCACGTGCATAGCATGTAGGTTATTCTATCGCACCGTGTCCGCTCATCGTCCAACCTAACTTCAACACAGTCGACACGTTGGGATGTCTAGAAAGTGGGTTGCTAAAGCTCAGTGATTTTGCACAAATCGTTAGAAGCCGGAACAGCAGTTGAAGGATTTAATCACAGACGAGTCTGGTTCGCTCTCACCAGGCGACAATTTCACTTACCA